CCGGCCCCCAGGCGCCCCCTCCCTGCCCTTCCTGGCTCGGTGGGGCTGACTGGCCCTTTGCAGCAGGATTGTGGGCGCCTTGCTGGGGGGGGTCCGTGGTCGCTGCAGGCCCACCTCTCTCTGTGTGTCCACCTGAGGGCCGGGGCTGGCAGCGTTGCCCCCCCAAACCTGCCAGGGGCTCGCCCTGCTGCTAGACTGTCCTTGGGGTCCCCTCTGGCGAGCTTGGGAGTTGTTTCCATGCTCCTGCTGGGCTCGGGAGCCCACCGCCCCTGCAGAGGCCTCGGGGTCCTAGGCGGAGCTGGAGGGGCCTGGGAGAGAGGACTGGCTGGTGGTGCTCCGCTTGTGGGGAGAGGGGCCTACACAGGAGGGTGGGACGTCTGGGATCGAGGGCGCAGACCCCCAGGCTAGGCCTGTGGGTAGGGTCAAGGTCCCCCGTCACCAGTCCCTGAAGGAGGTGGCCGAGGGAATAGTGGGATTTGAGCCCAGGCAGCCTGGCTCCAGAGTCTGGGCTCCTAACCACCATGTGTGCGCGGCTCAGGACCAGAATCCATAAACCGGGGTCTCAGCCCAGTGCCCCCCTCGGTGGGGGCCTCAGGTTTATGAAGATGCTTCTCGGCAGCTGTCTGCACAGTAACTGAAGGCAGGGGGACAGGTGTCCGTGGGCTAGTGGAGGCCTGGGGTGGGGTTGACCAGGCCTGCCCCTCACAGCAGTGCCAGCCCCCGCCCGAGCCCCCACCTGCACCCCTCACTCTCTCTGCCTCAGGAGTGGCTGATCAGGTTCGGCTACCTGCCCCCACCGGACCCCGCAACCGGGCAGCTACAGACGCAGGAGGAGCTGACCAAGGCCATTGCGGCCATGCAGCGCTTTGCGGGCCTGGAGGCCACCGGAGTCCTAGGTCAGTCCCAAAGCCTGACCTCCTGGTCTCTCCCAATGCCCCCTCCCTTCCAGGCCCTGTGCCCCCCCACCCCCACCAGCCTGCTTAGGGATGGGCCTGCTGTTCCTGGACCATGACCAAGGAGTCCCACCATGTGCTGCCCAAACTCCCAGCTTCCCCAGAGAAACCAGAAATCTGGGGAGGGAGGTTTAGTGAACACCCCACTTTTTACATGTTGGCAATGAATTCAGACTTTGTAAAGACCCTCTTTAGGGCTGGCTGATGGGGACACGTCTGTCCCCTGGCCTCTGAAGGGGAGACACATGTAATGCGGGAAGAGTTGGCAGTACTGGTCCCCGGGGGGGCCCCTGCGACCGGTCATGGCCCTGCCATGAGTTAGTAAATGCTCTGAGTGACCCCATCCCCACCAGATCTCCTGCAGGAGCCAGGGACACAGCCCTCAGGGCTGCTGGGGACCCCAGGCGGGGGTGAGCTGGGCCTGGCTCCTGACCCCCGGCACTGCCTCCCTTGCAGACGAGGCCACCCTGGCACTGATGAAAACCCCGCGCTGTTCCCTGCCCGACCTCCCCTCTGCTGCCCCAGCTCGGAGGAGGCGCCAGGCTCCAGCCCCAACCAAGTGGAACAAGAGGAACCTGTCGTGGAGGTGGGTGGCGGGGCTCCCCTGGCCTGTCCCAGTCTTAGTGTCCCGTGGGGCTGCTAAAACACCCACACCCAGATTCAGACCGCAGGGGTTTGTCCCAGCCCCGGGGAAGGACGTTCCAGGGAGCACACTGAGCTGGGGGTGGGGCGCTTGGCCTGTCCTGGTGACCTCCCCCCGGCTCTGACCCCGCTTGCCCTAGGGTCCGCACGTTCCCGCGGGACTCGCCCCTGGGCCGAGACACAGTGCGTGCTCTCATGCACTACGCCTTGAAAGTCTGGAGCGACATCACGCCCCTGAACTTCCACGAGGTAGCGGGCAGCACCGCCGACATCCAGATCGACTTCTCCACAGCTGACCACAATGACCGCTACCCCTTCGATGGCCCTGGCGGCACCGTGGCCCACGCCTTCTTCCCCGGAGACCACCACACCGCAGGGGACACCCACTTTGATGATGACGAGGCCTGGACCTTCCGGTCCTCAGGTGCATCCGGGCGGAGCCCTGGGGACCCTGCGTAACCCAGGGGCCCCAACAGACCCTGGGACGTTGCGGGGAGCCACACTGACCCTGTGAGGATGGAGAAACCGACAGGGCCCCCTGAGGCGTCCAGACCCCGGGGCACACCTGTCCACTCACGAGAACAGCCGGGCAGTTCTAGTTGAGGCCGACTTCGCCCCGTGTCTCTGGCAGGGATCCCCGCCTGGCCGGGCCTGGCTGGGCTTGCAGGCCTGGGATGGTGTGACACGGCTCTCGTGTCCTCTGACTGGCCGAGCAGAGCAGGCTTGTCCTTGTCCTGGTCTCGCCTTCCAGAAGGGAGCGGGAGCTGTGAGGCTACTGCAGGCCTGGGCACGGCATCCCTCCTGCCAAGTCCTAGTGGCCAGAGAGGTTGCAGGGACCAGGGCGGAGCCACGTGGTACAGGGTGTGGATGTGGGTGGGGAGAAGGGGACCACATGGAGTTAGTCCACACACCGGCCTCGTGAGAGCCCTCACCCTGCGGGCCCCGGAGTCCCACAACAGTCCCTGTAACCCGGGGTCCGGATGGCCCACCAGACCTGACGGATTTACCAGCTGGCCTGTAGAGAGCGGGCTCTTGACCCCCACAACACCCAGTTCTGTGCGCACGAGCTCATCCCATCCTGGCAGCCATCCCCATGGCTCACTGTTCCCCGTGTCCCTAGATGCCCACGGTATGGACCTGTTCGCAGTGGCTGTGCACGAGTTTGGCCACGCCATCGGCCTGAGCCACGTGGCGGCCACACGCTCTATCATGCAGCCCTACTACCAGGGCCCGGTGGGCGACCCGCTGCACTACGGGCTCCCCTACGCGGACCGCGTGCGCGTCTGGCAGCTCTACGGTGAGTGCTCCCCACAGAGCCGGCATGGGCACCCCGAGAGTGGGGACAGAGGCTGGGGACCCCCTGGGCACAGAGCCACAGGAGCTGAGTTCTCCTTGTGTCCGCTCCGCACATTCAGCGTCCCGGTGCCCCACTTGGCCCGCACGTGTGTGGAGTCCACACGCGGTGCTGTTGCCTGGGGACCCAGCCTCGCCCCAGAGCCCAGCGCCCTGGGCACAGTTCCCTGTCCAAGCCCTAGGTGGCCTCAGGCGTGACAGCCGGCGTGATGGTGCCCTGGGCCCCGTGTGTGCAATGGTGGGAAGGCTGAGGCTGGGTCGCCCCCTAGGTGAGGAGGTTAGTAGCAGCCGCAGCCGGGACTGGCCAGGGCAGGCTGCAGGGCGCCCCCTGCTGGGCGCACGTGGGAAATGCAGTGGAAGGAGGCCAACCTGGGGGCCGGCTCAGGAGGGGTGAACCCCTGTTCGCCCCCCACTTCCGATGTCGCCCTCACCTCAGCCTCTGGCGTCACCCTCCAGGCCGCCCCTCCCTGCGTGCTCTCCCCAGCACCCACCACCCTCCGGGTTATTTTATTGTAAAGTTTACCGTTTCAACTTGCACCACCTGACGAGGTTTATACGCCCACAGGGCTGTGCAGCCGCCACCTCTTCTAGTTCCAGGAGCGCCCCCACCCCGTCCCCACCAGCGGTCACTGCCACCCCAGCCGCCACCCTCTGCCTCTGTCCATCGCCATAAATTTGCCTGTTCTGGGCATTTCGTGGCCTTCCGTGTCCGCTCCTTTCCCGGAGGGACCTGTTTTCGGGGTCCTGGCAGGTGTCAGTTCTTCATTCCTTTTAAGGCAGAATGATTTCCTCTCTCTGTCCACCCGCCGAGGGACGTCTGGGTTGTCCCCACCTTTGGCCACTAATTAGGAACCGTTCCCCCTTGAGCACCCACTCACGAGTTTCTGTTTGAACACCTGTCTTCTGTTTTTCGGGGTCTGTGCCCAGGACTGGAGTTTCGGGGGGGTTGAGGCACCTGTGACTCGGGACTCGTCGCTGGCTCCAGCTGGGAGTTGGGCCTGTCCTGCTCACACAGTAGCTGGTGCCGGACTCTGGGGATACGTGGGAAACGTATCCTGTCCGCGTAGCAGCTTCGGGTCCACCCTGGAGTTTCGGAAAGGGTGCTGGGATTTGAGGGAGGCGGGCAAGCTGGGTTCCATGCAGCCTCCCTGTCTTCACAGGCGTGCGGGAGTCCGTGTCCCCCACTGCACAGCCAGACACTGCAGAGCCTGAGGAGCCTCCCCTCCTGCCAGAACCCCCTGACAACCGGTCCAGCACCCCGTAAGTGTGAGCCCCTGTCCCCTCTGCAGCATCTCCTCCCCCCCAGCAGTGACTCAGGTGGTGTCCTGAGCTCCTGACTGTCCTGAGAAAAGCACAATTCTGTGCGCTGTTCCTTAAACTCCCCCCAGACGTTGGGGGGGGACACTTGCTCTCCAGCCTGGGTGAGCAGAGGTGTTGAGTGTACATGTGGGGGGTCCTCCCGGCCTCTGTCCCAGTCACCTACAGGTGCGTAACAAGCACCCTGCCCCGTAACATCAGACCATTAAAAGCTTAGGATTCTATGGGTCAGGAATTCAGACCGGGCATGGGGTGGGCAGGGTGGCAGTGGCTGCCCCACAGTGGAGGGGACTTTCCTGCCGTGGCTCAGCATGGGGGCTGCCCTGCCCACAGGCTCTCTCTGTCCCCAGGCCCAGGAAGGACGTGCCTCACAGGTGCAGCACACACTTCGATGCGGTGGCTCAGATCCGCGGCGAGGCTTTCTTCTTCAAAGGTAACCCCCACGGGGTCCAGCGCCCGGGTGGAAGGGGGGCCCTGGGCCCAGCCTGCCACCTGCAGCCACGCTGGCTATCCCGCAGGCAAGTATTTCTGGCGACTGAATCGAGATCGGCACCTGGTGTCTCTGCAGCCAGCACAGATGCACCGCTTCTGGCGGGGCCTGCCGCTGCACCTGGACGGCGTGGACGCCGTGTACGAGCGCACCATCGACCACAAGATTGTCTTCTTTAAAGGTGGGCACCCCGCCGGGCTGCTCTGAGGACCGCGGAGCTTGTGGTTTGCTCCGCGCGCAGAGCGGAGACTAGCCTCTTTTTTGTGTACCTACCGGTGCATGTTTGCTGAGCACTTACTCTGTGGCCCGCACTGTGAGGCGCTGCAGGTACCCAGGGGCCAAAACACAAGACCCCCGCCCTCATTCTGTGGGGGCCACGCGATCAGCAGCCACAAGTGATGAGGAAGTTAATTCCAGGTGGACCTGAGGGAACAGTGTTCCAGGCAGACAGAACGGCCTGTGTAAAGGTCCTGGGGCAGGAAAGGTCCTGCTGAGTGCAGAGGGCGATGAGGCTGGAGCCAGTGAGGGGTTAGGATGCAGGAGACAAAGTACAGGTGGGAAGAAGCTGGACTCGAAGGGCAGGTGTCTGTCCGGCACTGGACAGGTGCTCGGGCCCATCGGAGCTACTCAGTAAATACTCATGAGGACTGTAGGTACTGTGGGGTAGGGACGATCGCCTCGGGAGGGTGATGGGGGAGAAGCAAGGGCTGGGGCCCCCGCCTGCGGGTGGGCTGAGCGCCAGCTGGCTCTTTCTCTCCCCAGGAGACAGATACTGGGTGTTTAAGGACACTAACGTAGAGGAAGGATTCCCGCGGCCCGTCTCCGACTTCGGTCTCCCGCCAGGTGGCGTCGACGCCGCCTTCTCCTGGGCCCACAATGACAAGACTTATTTCTTTAAGGACCAGCTGTACTGGTGCTACGATGAACACACCCGGCGCATGGACCCAGGCCACCCGGCCCGCAGCCCCCCTTGGAGGGGCGTGCCCAGCACTCTGGACGACGCCATGCGCTGGTCGGACGGTGAGCCAGGCGGGGCCCGAGGGCGGGGTGCGGCCTCAGTCTCCCCACCTGTAGGCCGGGATGGAGAGAGGGTGGCTGGGAGGAGCTGCTGACCTTCCAGGGGTCCCCTTGCCTGCCTGGATGTGGCTGCCTTGGTGCCACGCCCTGTCCCCTCATGACCCCCAGGCCTGCCCCCTGCGCCCACAGGGGCAGCTTCACGGGGACAAGTTTTTCTGGTCGGTTTTCAGAGTTACGTCCCCAACACCTAGGGCAGCCTGGCACGTAGTGGGTCCTCCATAGTGTTCAGTAGGAAAGGAACCCGAGTGTGGCTCATCCATCCCTCTACCTGCAGGTGCTCCCTGAGCTTTCCCAGCCTGTGAGGCTCCAGCCCGGGGCTGAGACAGAGATGCTGACCCTGTAGACCAGTCCTGCTCCCCTGACCAGCCCTAATGCCACCCACTGCAGTGTGGAGCTCAGCTGCCTTCCTCTCCTCCCCAGGGGCTGCCTACTTCTTCCGTGGCAGGGAGTACTGGAAGGTGCTGGACAGCGAGCTGGCGGTGGCCCCCGGGTACCCACAGTCCACGGCCCGGGACTGGCTGGTCTGCAGAGATGCGCAGGCCGACCACGAGGGCTCGGAGGGCGAGGCAGGGGCCCACGCCCCACCAGGACAGCATGACCGGAGCCATGCGGAGGACGGCTACCAGGTGTGCGCCTGCAGCTCCCTGGCCTCCCATCCCCCGGGGACCTCAGGCCCGCTGCTGGCCGCCACACTGCTGCCGCCGCTGAGCACCCTGTGGAGAGCGGCCTGGGCCCTGGCGCTCTGATGGCCACTGCGGCAGGACGATGGGTCACAGCCAGGGGCCACACAGGGCAGGGACTGGTGCCCCCACCCCCCAGTACCTAAAACAAGAGCTCCCAAAGAGGGGGCATGTGGCCTGGGGACCCGGCCTTGCAGCCTCTGAACAAAGCCCCCGTTTCAGTCTCCCTGGCAGAGAGGCGGCCCGGGGCACGGGCCCTTGGCCGGTCAGCACTGACTTCTGAACACAGGAGCACCATCCCCTTGCTTTTTTGCCTCTACTGGCCCTGGCCCGACTGCCAGCTGGGAGTCTGGGAGATGCCGTCAAGCCCTGGGTGGGGACAGGGAGACCGTCCATCCTACCAGCAGAGATGGGTCACACAGAACTCCACTGATGGACGGGACAGGAGGTGCCAGGACCTCACTCGGGCCTGGAGAGCGCAGCTCAGCCAGCACCACCACCCTCATCGCGTCCACACTGCCCACGGTCCCTGGTGCTTCTGCCCACCCATGGGGGCTTTTGCCGCCCATCCCAGAGGGCCTGCCACTGCCTTGTTCAGGGCAGCCCCCAACACTCAGAGGAGCCCCCCACGCTGAGGCCACCACTGGACTCCTCGTGATGCCTACAGACAAACACGACGTCCTTGCTGCCCAGCTGCTCAGGCTCAGCTCCCTGATGCCCCCAGGCAGGGGCCGTGTGGGTGGTTGCCCTCTAGGCCTGGACCCCAGACCCACCTGCACTCAGGTGGCGGGGGCTTCCAGGAAGGGCCTCACAGTGGTCACTTCCCCCTCTCTGTTCACCAGCACCGTTCTCTCCAGCACTTCCTTGCCGATTCCGTGTCCCCAGGGTCATTACTCCCATTTCACAGATGGGCAAGTGGAGGCCGGCTCAGGAAATGAACCTCCTGCTCGCGGCCCGAGGCCCCATCAGGTCTCAGATCCAATGCTCTGGCACGTTTGACAAAACCCATTGATGGAGGACCTGCCTGTGTGTGCGGGACATGCCAAGCGAGACGTCTCCAGTCCTCGGGAGGCACCTGGGGTGTGGCTGCCAACCCAGCTTGCCGCCCACAGGATGTCCAGGATGGCAGCCTCCCTCCCACCCAGAGGGGCAGGAGAGCCCAGCCCTTTGGTCAGGAGCCCAGCAGGGAGCCATTCACTAGTGTTCCTCGGGGGTGTGAACTGGGCCGGGAGGGGCTTCCTAACACCCAGAGTGAATGTGGGGTCCAGTTAGGAAGAGACTAGTCACTGACGCTGTCAGGTGAGCTCAGAGAACTTCCGGGGGCTGGTTCACAGCGGGAGCCCCCACCTGGAGAGTGACATAAACTGCTTTGGGGGTTCCTGGAAGGCCACCTGAGCAGAAGCAGGGAGGAGGAGCTGGTCCTGCATGAAGGGGCGGGGCTGAGGCAGGAGCAGCAGGTGCAGACCTTGGAGCAGGTGGGCCTGCTGAGCAGAAAGCCCTGTGTCCTTCCGCTGGGAATTGCAGCCCTGCTGAGGGGTGGGGGGTGGAGGTGGCTTATAAGATGCTGTAGGGCACTGAGTTCACTCCCTGGTCACAGGAAGTTATCACTAAATTTCCCCACTAGCCCAAGGCAGGGGCAGGAGCAGCCCTACCCCTTGGGAGGGTGCCCAACACCTGGCGCCCAGGTAGCAGAGGCAGAACCCGGGGTGCCTGGCGCCAGGCCACGTGCCACGTCCCACGTCCATCTGTCTGCCACCTGGTCCCTGGAGACGGGAGAGGCGTCTGCCTGTCACTAGACCAGGAGCACTGGGGGTCCCTCCCCACTCATTTAGGATGCCCCTGCCGCCCACTCCCCCAGCTTGGCCCCACTCCCTCTGCAGAGGGATCCCCGTGCATTTGGGGAAAGGCCCCCGAGAGGTTGGGGGCAGAGCAGACCAGGGCGCAGGCCTGTGAGAAGCCCGGCTGTCACGGTGGGGGGTGGTCTTACTACTGTGTTAAAGCCAAACACTGATAAAACTTTCCCACCAGTTCTGTCTTGTGTGAGGACATGAACCGTAGGCACAGAGTTGGTGACCTCGTGTGGGGTCCGGGAGGGACGAGTCAGCAATGACGTCGGCAGTTTCCGCCTGGGCCCCCAAACTAACCCACAGGATACTCTCCTTCCCCCATCTTTTTTTTTTAAATACGTTTTTGTTGATTTCAGAGAGGAAGGGAGAGGGAGAGAGGAACATCAATGATGAGAGAGTCATTGATCAGCTGCCTCTTAGTGGAGATCGAGCTGAAAGCAACCCAGCCATGTGCCCTGATTGGGAATCGAACCCGTGAACTCTTGGTCCGTGGGTCGATGCGCAACCACTGAGCAACACCGGCTAGGGCTACGTGTATATTTTAAAATTTGTAAATAATCTCACATTTACAGAGGAGTTGCAGGCAGAGTACAAGAACCTTTTTTTTTAACCTAATCATTTGGGAACACAGTGCCAACCCCCCCGCACGTCCCTGTGCATTTCCTGCGCACCAGGACTTTGTCCCAAGGTCAAATCAAGAAATAACGTGACTCGTCAAACCCCAGTCAGGCTTCTGCACTTGTCCCAGTACCCTCTGTTGACGAACCAACCTGGCATCGCAGGTGCACTCACCTGCCCGTGGCTTTGTTCCCTGCGACCTGGCACGGCTCCTCGGCCTTCCCGTGACCTCATGACCTTGGCGCTTGGGAAGGTCTGAAGGCCGCAGGTTGGCTGTCCTGTAGACTCCCCTCAGTGTCCGCGGCCTGAAGTGTCCTCAGATAGGTTCCGGTTCTGCATCTTTGTCAGGAACGTCACAGAGAGGTTTGCTGTTAGGTGAGTCACCCTTGAAACTCCTGGAGATTTCATGTGAAATGGTGGGTTTTCAGCCAAAGTCTATTTTTATCCCCTGCTGTGCTGCTGGCTCGACCTGGAGAAGCTGTGAGCCCTTGGGGGACCCCGCAGCCATGGTGACAGACCCAGAGAGATCCCCTGGAAGGAGGTCGGAGGACACGCCACAGCAGGGAGGGCCAGGGCCCCAGGCGAGGTCGCCGTGGAGGCCCACTCGGCACACACCGGGCACAGTCGCTGGCTGACCCGAGCGTGACTCGGCCTTGTGAGCAAACACACATGTCCCCGTGTGTGTGTGTCACATTTACAGAACGTCACCACGGGTGACCTCGGGGGCCAGTACATATTTAACAGGCGGGGAAGCTGAGGCACTGGCCTTAGATCAGGGGACTCTAACAAACGCTGCAGACTGGGGGAGCTCAGACAGACCGACCCCCAGTTCTGGAGGCTGAGAGCCCAAGGTCGGGGTGCTGGCTGGCTCCTTCCTGGGGAGGGCTGCTTCCCTGATGGCAGACGCCTCCTTCCCACGTCCTCAGGTGGCAGAGAAGGCTCTGGTCTCTTCTTATAAGGACACTAATTCCATTGGGAGTCCGGACCCTCGTAACTTCACCTAAACTTAATCATCTCCCAAAGCCCTCACCTCCAAACACCCTCCCACTGGCTGGGGCTTCGACATGGAACCTTGAGGGACACAGACCTTCAGCCCTGACACACGGGCTGGTAGGACTTCGCCGCACCAAACCTCACCCTTCCCGCCACCTTCCCAGGAGCAGATGGCAGACGGGCACACGGGAGCATCTGTTCATTGTGACACCTGTCTCAGCCCATGCCGGGACCCACAGGCACATAGAAGGGCAATTGTGGGAACCAGGGGCCTGGGGGTTCCACAGGGAACGGAGCCACTGGGGGTCATCTTTGGCAGCCAGAGCTGGGAGTTGTCTTGAGACGCTTTTCTGGAATCTGGAGTCCTGGGCCCACTCTCGTCACAACGGGGGAGGTGGCCGTCTGCCAGGGTTGCATCACCCCAGGAAGGCCCAGGCGTGCCAGGCCACCGGCCAGGCCACGGCAGCAAGGACCCTGATGCAATCCCCGGCCACCCTGGACTCTGCCCTTCCGGAGGCTCAACCCACCCCCACCACCT